CGATCTGTAAGATACTGCGTTTCGCGGGATAACGTTGATCGAGCGTCACGTCACGGTTTTCTATGAAAATTGATGTGTGTTTGATTTTAGGAGAAATGTAAAACATTATTTCAAGTATTAGAAACATTATTTATACTTTTTTAAATAGAATGTTAAATCTGTTTTGTATTCTGATAGTCTTCGTTAAATTTGTTATATAATATTATTGATAGTTACATAAATTTAAAAATGAAAAGAAATATTTTCAATTTTAAAATCGATTTTATTCCAAGCAGGATTTCCGGTAAAAAATATGTTATTCTACACGTTTGATTTATTTGTTCGTGTAGGATTATTATCTTCTTTGTGATACACGCATATTAATATCCAAGATGTGCAAACGAAACGAATGATTCACTTGGCTGCAATTACGACTGCAAGACCGATTTCTTCAGACGTGACGATCAATCGACGTGATTCCACCGCAAACCGTTGGTCTGTTCCTAGTGCATGATGCACGATGATGTACAAAGAAGATTAATCCATTAAGAGTAGTAGGCAGAAAAGTGCGTAGGTGTAGTAATGTCGTGATGCACGCTTGCTAGTCTGTAAGTAAGATCGCGAGACACCATCGCGCGCTATTTCGTCAGCATGTGCGATAATGACTCTCGAATTGGTTAGTCTAGTGTTAATTAAAAATGTCCCGAGAAACGATTGATCGTTAGTATCTATATTAAAGGGAAGGTAGAGTCGGAAATAGAAAATGAGTATTCAGATGTTCATTAACACGTTATCACATTGACGAGAAATAGGACAAAAATTTGCCGAAATCTTTTGAAAAGTGTCACAAACGGAAAATTAAAATTTTATCAGCAAAAAAGAAGCAGATACGACACGAAGATGTATTTTGACTATTTTTTTTATAATAAACTAACTTGCGCGTTTTACACATTCGATAATTAGCAATAATCTCGATATATCTTAAGAGAAATACACTTTTGTAAGATACGCAAACGACAAGACTGCAAATAACTCTTTTCTATTTTTTAGAAAAAGATTTATACACGTCACTTTTCGCATTGGCCTACTTCGAAAGATCATTTTTTTCAAAAGCAGTATTAAAGTAAGATTAAAATTGTATGTTTAGATCTGAGCGGCATCGTCACTATTTTCAACTCTTTATAGCGATTTTAGAACGTATAATATCTTTTTCGTATTAACAACCAAAAACGTAAGATATTCCAAACTGATAAATTAATAAATTTCGTGTTTTGTAGAAATATCTAACACGATGGATAAATAATTTTTAAGTGTTATAGAACATTCGTCGTTCGAGATAAATGATAAAATCGTTTGACAGCTGGATAAATGTGTAAACTTTAGCTAAAAAATATAGAGTAGCATATCTATAAATAGAATGTGAAAAAGATTTTAATTGTAGATAAAAATTTAATATAATATTGAAATCTGGTCTTATATTTGAACACAGTTGATATTTATAATCACGTAACTATACTATAACGTAGCTTTACGGAAATAAATCCATCATTATTTTTAAAGAAATAGAAATATGTTTATTTAACTAAAAACAAAAGATTTTCTATCACAGTAGGAGTTGATAAATTACAATATATAGCCAATATAAGTTATTTTAAAAAATTCACATTGAACATGAACCTAAATGTTAGACGATTGGATCTTCTCTGTTCATTGTAATAATAATATGATAAAGTATAATTTTCTCTATAAAGAGTACATAGAGACGATGAGAGAGACCTCTTCGAAACCCAATCTACATCCTCTAACTGACAATGAGTTCTAATTTCGAAAAAAAGAGATGTTTTGTAAGAGCATACATATTAGAAAAACGCTGTATGAGACACACGTAATTCGTACTATTTTAATGCGCCATCGGTTTTTAGATAGAAGTAACTGCGTTTTCGACTGCGAAAGAGAGAGAATAAAGTAGATTAGCAATTTTGTTAAACCTTTTGAAGTACATACATTAGATCTTCTACAGTATACAATGGATTAATACAAGTCTGAGATGAAATTAAGACGACAATAAAAAGCATATCGCAAAAAAAAATGAAGAAAGAGAATATAGTATAAGTAATGTGCGACAGAGAGAAAGAAATATCAGATTTGGACCATGGGTCCTATTTCCGGGTTCCTATCCGTAGATTGAAAATGGGCGCGTAATACGTAAGCCGTATTATTTTCGATAGGGCCGTATTATTATCGTAATGATGCGCTCATTTTGATAATTTTTAGGATTTTATATAAGAGAACGTAGAGACGGGATGTAATTTTGCCGAGACGAAAATTGACGATTGATGCATGGCGATTATTGCCAGTCTTCTCCTTCTTTAGATTTTAAAAGAAAGAGGAACAGCACACGCATATATCTGTTGTTGAAAAACGCGTGGCTTTTATAATTATTGTACATATACGTATTTACAAAATCTTTCTCTATTAATAGTGTAAATTTATAATGTGTGTAGAACTGTTTGTTAAATAAATCGACAATGTAGATTTTTATTGAAACGACAACAGCTGTTATTATATTCTTCGTTCATACGAAACCCAATATTTTTGTATTCATATTTTGGATAATTGCTGGATCTGCTTTGCCGCGTGTTTTCGAAGCAATAATCACCGTGCAAACGGCACCTTTTTACATGAACAACCATCTTGTGCAAATTGTTAATTTGTCAATCATTATATATATATTAGATTTTACAATATTTAATATACAACGTATAAAACTACGTTTTATACAATATATATATGTATATATATGTCTTTTTTTTTAAATTGTTCAAAAAGCTGAATAAAATAAATTTGTAAGAAAACTCGATTTCTGTTTCTAAATTACAAAGCTCCATGCAATGAGTGGCGTATTCTGCAATTACACAATGTTGCACAATAAGCGAATTCCGGAAAGTTCATTTGTTTGTTTGGCCATTAAAGTGTAAAACGTCCTCGATTTAACTGTCACGTAATAATGCAAGCTTTAGGTATGCAAGACAAAAACCTACTTGTGTAATATATTTCCGCGTAAGAAAACTTAAAATCGACCCGCTCATCAACGGATGAATGTATAATTATGCAAACAAGCACATTCTTTCTTTACGTAAAGTAAATGACTCACAGATATAAAATAGAATCCTCCACGTGTAATTTTTGATTTATATATGTTAATACGTGTAGAATTGTGCTGATGTGTAAGTATATTTTTTATACTTAATACAATTTAACAAATATGTAGATATATCGCGTTAAAATTGTAAAAGAAAGCTTTTGACATTGTAATGGCTTTTATAAGAATATAATTAACATAAATTTTATTTTATTAATATTATTATTTAAAAAGAGTAATAAAATTAATTTTAGTTCAATATACAGTTCCAGAGATCCGAACGATTAAACGGTGCATATACCGGAGGAAGATAATGCATCTTTTTTTCGCATATACTCCACTCAAGTCTCCATCTTCATTACATGCATTAGCATGCTTGGTTCTGGGTAATGGTAAATGCGAATTGGTTATTTGCATTGCTTTGCATTTACTGATAAAATATTACTAAAGACGAATAATCTTACTAGTAGTTATTTATATATTATTTGACGTCACTCTCCTTACTTGGGAAGTAATATATAATATATAATTTATTATTTACTATTATCCTGATGTTTTGACATGCACACACGTTTACTCGACAATATTCGATTTTTATTTAAATCTGTGCACTTTTACTTCCGTTATCATCCGTATTACACGGATTATTCATGCAAATGATAATTATAGAAAAAAGTGTAGTGTAAAAAATATATGTCGACAATCGATAATATTGCTATTCTTCAATTACTTCCAAATCCTCAAGGCTCCATTGATAATCGACAAAAATTTGTACTTGTGTTATTTAGCAAGACTACTACATCACAGACGCGCGCACTATTTATCTTTAATATTTCACTGTTATTATTACACTATTAACCGTGCTATTAACCACACAACTGTCAAAATATGCCATGACAGCCACTCAATCTTACTCTTAATGTAAATGAAATAAGAAAAATAAAATTAAAAACAACAAAGCTAATGAGTAGTATTGTACTATTTATTTTACTCCTTTTTTTCGTCCTTTTCTTCTTCTCCTAATACTTAAATTCTTTTTATCCTGTATTAATTTCCTAAACATTTAAAGACTCTTTTTCAAGATTTTCGACTTTGGCGATCTAAAATCTCAAATAAATGCATAAGCGCTACATACAATATAAAAAATTCGATAAAAATTGATACTAAGTGCATACGTAACGGAATATTTATATAGATGCAACATACTTTGGCGATTAAAATATTCATTGGGACAATTGAACAAAGTTCATATATACCTTCTTTTGACAATACCCATCGATCGCATGACGTCTTCGACCTTTATTGATACCTTTTTATATCTTCGGTTTAATATTTAAGACGTAAAACATTTGATGAACAAATATAAATACCGCGTCATATCTGTTTTAGACAATTCATAAACTTTCAACTTTACAGTTTATTAACTTTAGACAATCTCAAATTCTCGACCACACGCGACATATCTTTGATATTGCAGGTCTTTGATTTGTAAAATTGATTTGTAAATATATAGCGATTTTAACAACTCGCTATTTACTTCAAGCTAACATCGAAAGGCAACTTTTTTCAGTTTTTTCATTGAATTTTCAATCTGAGAAAAAATGAAAGTGCGCTATGCACGTGCGGATAGTCCAAAATACTATATCATTTCGTGAGTAAACAGCCACTTAGGACAGTGATAAGGCCCATGGATCTTTTACTTTGTTTTCGCGATGTCAATTACGGCTTACCACCGTCGATCATTATTCATTATGGAAGCAGGAAATTGTGATAAATTAACAAATGGCATTGAAAGGTTGCATAAAGTTCCAGATACTCTGACGTTATTTATCATACATAAACGACATAAGCACTGTATATATAACCGTCGCACATTTGAGAAAATTATTCGACTTTATTCTTTTCGAGTTCATTAGTCTATGCGATCTCATCGAGCGATCATGTTGCTGCCGATGTTCCTCGTCTGGATCCTGGCATCCGCGAATGCTGAATTGTTTACTAATATAACAGATAAAATACCGAAACTGAATCCATCAGAACGGATACCACGTATCCCGGACCTGTTCCTACCTGTGAAGTTCCCTGAGGATGCACTACTTACCACGGTGAGTGAAACCTTTGCTTTTTTCATCCAATACAAATTTACGCATCGAACTAAATGCGAATTTAAGAAATAAACGAGCTATAAATTATACAAAAATAATTTTCATCATTATGTTCGAAATGTGACGATTTTTAAAAAATTTTAATTGATATTCTTAATCCGGGAACAATCACCTATTTTTTTTTCTTTGCGTAAACAATCATCTGGAGTGATTTCTACACCTTAGCAAGTTTCAATAAATACTATAAATATACAGGTCACAAACTTTTCCTATTATGCAGATTAAGTCTCATTGTCAGAACATTCAAATAAAAGATATGGAGATTCTCGATTAGTTAGATTAGAAAGAACTACGTTTTTCGACGCTGCAATGAAATATAAAAATCAGGTGACTATTCTCGAGTTAAATATTTGTTTGGCAATTAACTGATGTAATGAGAAAAATAATATCTTTTGATTAACACTCTCTCGCTACATATTTATATGTATAACCGATTTAGAAAACTATCGTTCTATTGCACAGATGGAACTGATAAGCAAATACGGATACGACGGTGAGCTGCATAGAGTGACCACTTCCGACGGATATATTTTGGAACTACATCGGATAAAAGGACGAGCTAATTCTACCGATTCAAACGTGCAAAAACCTATTGCATTTGTGATGCACGGCATTTTTTGCGACTCGTCGAGTTGGGCTATTTCCGGCCGTGAGAAAAGTTTAGGTAAAGTAAAAGCATAACTTATTTAGTGTTAAAGTCGTCAAGTAAGAGGACATATTTCATCGTCTGCATACTGGCCAATATATTTATCTTTATTATTGTGTTCCGATATTAATATTTTAGCGTTTATTCTGGCGGATGAGGGATTCGACGTGTGGCTCGGTAACGCGCGTGGTAATCCATATGCTAATACTCATGTGTCTGAGAAAATCTCGATGAAAGAATACTGGAACTTCAGGTGAGAATTGATATTATGTGTGTGCATGTATATATGTCAACAGCGAGACACGAAGAAATAATTATAACATTCGCGTAGCATAGTTAAAAATAAAATTTAATCAGCGAGTAATGTGAAATAGTTGCAGCGTAGAAATATTAATATCTCTAATCTAATCTATAAGTTAGATAAGAAAAGCTCAAGTTTATATGTTAAACAACACATATGGGTCAATTTGATCTTGCTTGTTTCTAATGAAAACGAGTTTCTGTAAAGAATCGATAAAATAAAACGATTGAAAAAGTTTCATAAATTTTCTTACATATAATTTTCTAATGATATCAAAAAGTATATGTATATACAATGAATTTTTTCACATTTCTTCTTATCACTTTAATATGATCAAAATAGTAACAGAATCATTTTGACCGATGTGTATATGGATAAAAAATGCAAAAATATGTATGAGTATACAGTACAATGACAATAAGCATGCTGATGTTCATTATTCATCTTCTTAACTTGCATTTGTAGGTACTAATCGTCACGATTTCCAAGAATGTGATAAGTAGCAATGATATAATCATAACAGGTGTTCATAATTACTCATTATGACAATATCTAGATTTTAGATAATTGTAGATAATATGTGGCAGATTAAGATAGTTTGGATTTAATTTCTTCTCAATGGTAACGTCAAAGTCTACAGTTTAAATGACTAATGATTATAAGAATTAAAAAATATATGAAACTAATTTTTTCACTTAACTTCAAGCTCTTATCAGAAATTTGATTGAAAGCTCAAGCAAAGAAATAGAGTGCTAAAATAATTTTGTTGCAATACTTAGAATTGTTTCGAAAATCTTCAACAAACTTTATTCACTATTCTGCGCGAACAAATAAATAAGAAAACGATATTTCGAGGGAAATATCGTTTTCTTATTTATGTCAGTTTCAAATTCGCATTTATCTTTAAAAAAGTGCCGTTTTGTTGTCAACGTATTATCTTGTCAGAAAAAAATTTAATCAATTATCTCCGATTATCCGATTATGACAAACACTCAAAAGACACGTTAAGCAGATTATTTATATAAAAATCAATATCTCTATCTTCACGAATAAAAACATTACATACAAAGCGCATTATATGTAAAAGCTGGACCGAAATCGGCACGCGTGATCTTCCAGCGATGATAGATCGTATTGTGGAGACGACTGGCCGCAAAAAAATGTTCTATCTGGCGCACAGTCAGGGTACCACCGCCTTCTTCGTTATGGCGACGGAACGACCACAGTATCAGGAATATATTGAGGAAATGTACGCTATGGCTCCGATCGCTTACTGCGGCAGGATGAAGAGTCCCCTTTTTCAGCTGCTGGCACAATTCGTCGATAGCATCGACGTACGTGACTCCTGGATTTAAAAAAGAATTGATTTTTCAAAGATTTTCTGTAGTTTTCTGACAGTTTGAATGTACCGTTGCAGTTATTCTTCAATTTAATCGGCATGTACAAATTCAATCCTACCAACGATTTCGTAACAGCAGTTGAACAATTAGTGTGCGCGGAGGACGCTATCACTCAACCAATATGTTCGAATTCACTGTTCCTGACGACTGGATTCGACATTGAACAATTTGATCCGGTACGCGCCTTTAATATCAGCATATTCATAATAAGCATATCTTTCATTTTTCAAGCATATTTTTAAGCGCATCTTATTTAAAATTTAAGCGTTAATTAAATTATATATACTATAAGCAACCTAATCAAATTTATATCAAATATACAAAAAATATTGCATATCAAATATAAATTTAAAAAATGATAATATTTTGTTTTGTCAAATAATAGTGATTTTTCTTATAATACTTTCAACTATATCGGTATTATTAAGATTGTGCATTATTTCGCAACGTCGCAACTTTGAGTATTAATTAAGAATTATTAATTTTAATTTAGTACTTATTTGTAACATTATTATGTCAACTTATAATGTCAATCGTTATATATATATTTATATCGCTATTGTCTCTCTTATAGGCTCTTCTACCGGTAATCTTAGGGCATGTTCCTGTTGATACAGCCACGATGCAACTCGCCCACTATGGGCAACTCATCAAGTCTGGTAAACGTTCATTCATATTAATATAATAATAAATTCGGCAGATATACACTGATTATTATAGTACCATAAAATTGCTGTATGAATATACTTAAGTACTAGGTTAGTGCATATGAAATGGCGGATATTTATTGTAATGTCGGATTATTATTATTAAAATCGATGAATTGTTTTACAGCTTTTTCGACATCACTTTCATTTTTAGAAATTTTATGTTTTAGAAAATATTTCAAATTTTTGAAAATCTGGTAGTCTGTAAACAATCAAATCCGGTAAATAAGGGGGATATAACAACTGCAGTAGCGTTATTCCCCAATTTGAATTTATATTTAAAAAATTACATGAATTTTGTTAGAATAAACTTTAAACAAAACGATCAAAACGCGTTCTTAAAAAAGTTTTATTAGCACAATAACTACAATGAGAAGTGTAGCTATAATGATAAAAGCAAAATTATATATTGTATATGTATAAGATTATACTATAAAACTAATATGATTGAACCAATATTTTCAGTTAGCAAAAATCCGACATTTTACTGCACCAAACTAATACAAAAGCATAATATAAATATTTGACCGATAAAATATCCAATATATTCTGTTAAAATTTGTGACAATATCAGGTATTTTGTCGATCAAACTTTTTACATTATGTTTTTATCGTTGAATATTTTTATGAACAATTTTTAATTAAATAATTCTTAGCGTACACTACTGCAACACAAGCGATCGAACTCGCTATAGTAAAATGCGCGTTATGTATAAAGATAATGAAATATCTGTCACACTCAAATCTCTTAAACATTTCCCATAATAACAGCAGCAAATCTGTCAACAGGAAGGCTAATCTCACCGGGGGAATTTAGACAATACGATCACGGAACATTTGGAGATGAAGATTTATACGGCACATTTACTCCACCGAGCTACGATTTGAGCAAGATCAAAGTACCGATCTACTTGTACTACAGTGAAAACGATTGGTTGGCAAATGTCAAGGTTTGTGTTTCTTTATACAAAACGATTATCTCGAGTACCTATGATGTGTCAGGATAATTAGAGTACCTTTTCGTTTGACGCTCTAACGCTGTGAGAGAGAGCTAAACATCAAAGTGATCTTACGATCCTTGTTGATTCTCAATTGTAATGAGTAAGTTATAATTGAATATATGTTGAAAAACATCGAATTTCTTCTATCGTGACGCTGGCACTGAAATGTAGTCAGTGATTATTTGAAACTTACTGTTAGTCGAGGATCAAATGAAATTGTACGTTAGCGCCAATGTTTGTGTTTGTAATCATATTTTGATTCTTCTCGTAGGATGTGGAAAAGTTGTATAGCGAACTGGGCAATCCCGCCGGTAAAATCTTAATAGCGGATAAGAAATTTAATCACGTGGACTACGTGTGGGCTAAGGATGTGAAGACGCTCGTGTACGATCAGATAATCAGTCAAATGAAGAAGTCCTCGTAATAAAGTATAATTGCCACACAGTGTCAGGATTGTCTCATTCCGAGATCAACGCTTGTACTCAATATAATTCGATATACACCGATTTGAATTATCAATCTCTTGTCAATGTGTTCACGTCCTTATAAAATATTTTGTATACTTGAAATGTGATACGTATATCTTGCATTTTACACTCACCCTTATAAATTCCCATTTTTTCGTATTAACATATCATTTTTTTTCTCGTTTAACGTTCTAATTTGTGTGTTTCTTGCGTCATCATCTCGCTCATATAATATAATTTAATAATAAATTAAGGAATAAAGCTTCTTTGATTTATGAAAATTATGATCCATAAAATGAATTATCTAGAACATCAAAGATCAATTGATAGATTAAAATTAGTAGATTTATAACACTAATGAATCGATGATTAAACGAATAAAGTTGTACGCATATACGAATCAATTGGTGATAAAAAAGAAATGATCTACGAGAGCGGGACTATCTAAAATCAACTTTCAAATCGAAGATTCAATAGATTTCCCTATCTACTTGCACTTTATCAGTAGCGATCAATTGCAAACAACTCTTTTCTTTCTTTCAGAGCGTTGTTTCTTTCGATAAAATTCGTATAAACAGATACGCGATGTTGCGAGCAGCTACGCAGCTGCGCGCAGAAAGTTATAAAATGCAGTATCAATTTATCGATAAATAATAATCGATTCACTCACAATCAAACATCGATAAGAGCCTTTGCTCCCTTTCTTTCTATACACCTCAATCACAGCTTAATATTATCAAATCAGAAATTATGACGGATGGATTACGATAGATAGTACTCGATAAGATCGCATAAAATAGCAAACACATTCCGGTAGTGGACGTATTTTCAGTAAATAAGCAGCGCCACATAAGTATATATACGCTGCACATTCGGGAAGAAAATCGCGCACAATACAGTTCGAGCCGATCTCCTGCAGCAACGATCTCGTCGCGCGACATCAACGATGCCGATTCTTTTGCTCTTGATCCTGGCATCCGCCAGCGCGATGCCGTATTCCTCGATGGACCAGTTGCCGGATGTCCCGTCGATAGACAAGATACCGATGATCAAGGAATTCGAAGATCCGGAATTTCTGATAGCCACACAGGCAGATACGTCGCTTAGCATTGTAAGTGCATTTGTCGAGAATAAAAGTAAAATAAAAAAGACAATTACATGAAGGTTGAAACAATTTCCGTCGATCGAGGTGACTTATTTGCATTTGCCTACGCCTCATTAATGCAATTACAAATATCTTAACATCTTTATCGATTCAATGAGAAAACTGATATATCGACTAATAAATCTATTTCTGAGATTCCCTTATTAAATTATTTAAGCTTCATTAACTTTTTATTAAACAATTATAACAAGTACCTTTATATGTATATTATAAGTATTATTATTTATAACACGTAAATATAATGAACCAAATTTCTGAAATACGTTTATCATTTTAATCTCTCTCGGCCTTCCTTAGTTTTTTATCAATCCGTCGACCAATCTATCAGTAATGAAAACGTTACCATTGTACAGTTGCAATTAGTGAGCAAGTTCGGTTACCATGGGGAGCTGCACGAGGTGCTCACTTCGGACGGTTATATCTTGGAAATGCATCGGATAACAGGGCGTACTAATTATTTCAATAATTCGCAAGTGCAAAAACCCGTGGCATTCGTGATGCACGGCCTTCTGTGTAGTTCGGCTTGTTGGGTCGTTCCTGGGCCGCAGAAAAGCTTAGGTAAAGAAAGTGCATTTCCAATAAAAGCATTTGATTGTTTGATTCCCGAGCGCGAGTACTTTATCGCATAATACACGTGTATTCTTCATATAATTTATAATAGAGCAAAATATGTTCTTTTGAAACAAAGTAAAATCGCGCGCGCAAAGATCTGCACAGATTAAAAATTTTTCTTTTCTCCATCTACGTTCCAGTGTTTGTATTTACCTTAATGAAAATATTGTCAAATATTATCTGCTGTTATAACTCCGTTATATCCTTTTGAAATCAAGCATTGATTCTGGCGGACGCGGGTTACGATGTGTGGCTCGGTAATACACGTGGCAATGTATATGGACGCAAGCACCTGCTCCCGGATATTCGGAGAGAACTTTTCTGGGATTTCAGGTGAGGATAATAGATGTAAATAGCATGGAAGAAAAACAAATGTGTATGTAAATAGCGAAAAATGAAACTATTACCGATTACGGCACTAATAGCACGCGTTTGAAGATAAAGCTTAAGTCAGCACGAGACGATGGAAGCTTGACGCCAGGAATGTCAAGTATCTTTAATCTTATCTTTAAACGTATATACATATACGGTCTACTACCGTCGAATGAAGAAATTTAAGTTTAAACCCATGGGAGGTAATATTTATCATTTCTAAGTCTATCATTCGATTCATAGATGATTTATCGAAATAACGCCACGATGATAATGGCACAATTTTAACAATTCTATCCTATCGAGTTGTTCTCAAATTAAATCATTGCCATCGCAACGACGTTATCACATTTTAAGAAATCGTATATTTAGAGCTTCAGGAAAATGAATATTTCCCTATGTAACGATATATAAATTACAATAAATAACTAATCGTATACTGAGAAAAAAAGTTTGTTAACTTGACTAAATATTTTTAACTGATTATTTTTTTAATTGAAATATTAAAGTATTTGAGTAAATTACGTCATGTTAGATTTAATATGTTTTATTTAATTTAAATACATAAATATTTCAATTAAAAAATTAATAATTAGTTAAAAATATTTAGTCAAGTCAACAACTTTTTTTTCTCAGTGTATGCGACGCAGTGAGAAAGGAGACATTGATCAAAATGATTACAGTATTCACGTAATAGTTTCAAGATAAAATCAATTTGCGCGCGTTATCTTAGCGGAAAAAAAGTTTAATTGTGCTTTTTTAATCACCCATATTTCTTCGATTATCCGACTACGATAAAGATTTTACTTTCAACATAATAATTAAATAATATCAGAATTAGTATCAATTTTGCAAACAATAACAATGAAAAAAATGCAATAAGAACAGCATGCAATGTTTAAATGCATATCAAAATTCGAAATGCATCTGCAACGACATATTTATACAGGTGCAGCAAAAATTGCGACAAAAATATCTATAATATCTTCTTTTATCGGTCAGGCGAGGTATTATCACTTCTTGATAATGACATTTGGTGTTTTTTTCGGATTAAATACTTATTAGATATTTATCGGTCAAATGTAACATATGCTTGCAGCTCAAAAGATATTTGAAATATTAAAAATAAAATTACGTAAATTATATATCCATATATTGCGCACTCTAGTTCTAAGAATTAGAAAAAGATAAAAAATAAAAGTTTAAAGTTAATTTGTATTGATAGAACTCGACTTACACAATTAGTTTCAACTAAGAGTTTTTTTTTTAACACCTACAGAACGATAACATTGTTCAATGATAAAAATACACACGAACAATTTTAAAGGTTTTCCATAGGCTTTTAGAAACTGGAATACAAATCTCGTTTGCTAAATTGCACTATTATTATGTCACAAATTTGAGAAATTTGTGATTAAAGTTCCAAAAAGAGCTATTTTTTGACATGTTGTAACTACGATATGCAATGTGTTCGACAAATTTTTGTGCAATAAAAACTAAGTATGTATATAATTAGAACTTTTAGCCCACACACACACACACACACAACCTACACGCGCGCGCACGCGCACCATCTTTATATAATTTTTTCATTTCTACCTGATATAGATACAAAGTAGAGTTATCTATTTCAGATTAAGGATTGAGGAATAATTCATAAAAATCGTACCTTTTTTGCAGTTGGCACGAAATCGGGATGTACGACTTGCCAGCGATGATAGACTACATTTTGAAGATAACTGGCCGCCAAAAAATATTCTATCTAGGGCATAGCCAAGGTACGACCTCCTTTTTCGTGATGTCGTCGGAACGGCCGGAATATCAGGATAAGATACAGGCGATGTTCGCGTTGGCACCAGTCGCTTATTGCGCCAGGATGGATAATCCCATTATGCAATTTATATCAAGGTTCAGTGGTCCTTTAGAGGTATGTACGTAAGTCTAATCTCGATAAGAAAATAATAATCGCGATCGTCTTTTTGGACTTTAATGGCCTCATTGCAGGAACTGATGAAACTAATCGGCATGTATGATTTCGAGCCTACTAGCGAAGCCCTCAAAATATTCGCAAGAATCGTATGCGCGGAGGACGCTATCACGCAACCCTTGTGCTCAAATATACTTTTCTTGTTCGGCGGATTCAACAAAGACCAGTTAAATACCGTAAGATATTGTCTTTAACATACTTATAGTTAGCTTGTAAAATGAGATGATTATTCGCTAAATAGTAAGCTGGTTTATTATAGCACTCCTTGTGCTGTTAGTTATCAAATAATCTGAATTAATGTCAATTCATTATTAATTCGATATATTTATTCATGATGTTGCTGTCACCTTTGCAGACTCTTCTACCATTAATCCTGGAACACGTTCCAGCTGGCTCATCAACAAAACAGTTTATGCATTATGCACAACTTGTTAAGACCGGTAAACCTTCATTTCTATTAATATACCTCATTATATTTGCATAAAATTGGCGAAATATCCTATGCGTTTCATAAACATTTTTTAAAATTTTGTGAAATAATATATATATATATATATAATTTTTATAAATTACGAATCTGTTCTCAGGGTTTTTGATTACACGGGGGAAATTCAGACAATACGACTACTCATGGGCCGGGAATTTGATTAGATACGGTACGTTCAGTCCTCCGGAATATAATTTGAGAAAGATCAAAGTGCCAGTTTCATTACATTACAGCACCAATGATTGGTTGGCGAATGTCAAAGTTCGTATACCTTCTTATACGTAATATTTTATTCGACTTTAGATATTTGCGATATATTTGCCAGGATATTTTTTTCACACATACACGCGCACATAAGCTTTCGTATTATTATTATTATAGTATTATTTTTTTAATAAATATCCTGAAAATAATCGAGATACTAAAGTCAAATGCCATATACGATACTGTTTCAATTGTACTAATGATTACATTGCACTTACACCGTGTCTTTATCATCCGCAGGACGTCGACGAATTATACAAGGAACTTGGCAATCCGATTGGAAAATTCCGCGTGCCGCTTGAGAAATTTAGTCATCTCGATTTCATGTGGGCTAAAGACGCCAAAGATCTGTTGTTTGACAAGATATTAAGTCTGATGACGAATTTCCAAGATTAATCTACTAAAGTTCATCGAACTTTTAAAACTTTTTGTAGAGACAAAAAATTGTACGAAAAGTCAATTCTATTTATCGGAGAAATTTTAAGATAATTATCTTTGAATCAATACTTGCGTTTGACACAACTATTATCAATCTATTAAAAAGAACTTTATTTAATCACGAATTTCGTGGTAATCCTCGAAATATTGTTTGTGCTCTAATAAAATAAGAAATTCGTAATAACGGACTTAAGAATGAATGGGATATTAATAATTTTTCCACTCGCACTGCACTGGAAAAATTTCTTTAAATTAGTGATATAATTAACATTGTAATTTATTATAAATCTATAGATTCAACTATAGACATAGTGGTTATAATAAATAAGTAAAATAAGTCGTATTTCAATATTTTACAACACTTATTTTACTTGTATATGTATATATATATATATATATATATATATATATATATATATATATATGTGTATATATATATATAATCATTAAAGTTCCTAATTATCAAGGATAATGTGGACAACAAGATGAAAATATTTTATATCTTTTGGAAGATATAAAATCCCTGTAATACAGCGAAAATTGTTTTAATTTGTAAGTAACTTTAAAAGACTGAAAGATACATGTAAATATGTATTAAAATTAGTAATTTCAAATAAGATTACGATGTATTGTTAGTTTTTCCTCAGATGTACATAGTGGATTCTGTAACGTTTAAAGATCGAACATAATGTAGCGATAAACTGAATATCAATAAATGTAACAACGACAATGTTGTATCAATCTTAATATCGTAAATAAAGTGAAGGAATTAAAAGAATCATTCTCTTATTTTTAGGGGATTCTGAAAGAAAGCACAGGTATCGCTTTTACACACGTATACGTACATTTCACATATATAGATACGGACGTGTGCATGGCGTTGCAGAAGCACAGATATTTATAGTCGTTAGGGGCGGAAATGAGATATATCTAATGAAGTTACGCAAATTATGCAAAACACAACAGGTAGTCATCCAGTCGGCCACTCCACATTATAATTCACAAGGTTGAATTTTATCGAGAACACATTATTGATGTTCCTGTTAATATCGCGTGCGTAGGCTTCAAAGTGCGCGCCTGTTACGACCGCAATTCGTTTTTTTCCCCTCTCTGGTATTTCAGCATCGTAATTTTAGGGAAAACTCGACCTTGTGACGTTCGATACCGTTCTCTTATGTAGGATAACATCGCTCCCCATTTTATATATAGCGCCTCGCTGAAAAGAAAAGTACATAGATTCGTGGGTGGAACTGATTTTTATTGTTAAGCACAATAATATTTATCTGCTTTTACCGCATCTTCTGCATGTAGACTCGATCGTGAAATCGGCGGAGGTGCGACAGAGCGATTCTTGTCCTCGAAAGCTCGATTTCAAGAAAAAAAAAACCAAAGTGATTTTGTCATGCCCACATTTATTTTTCACTTGTTAACCCGTGTCTCTCAGAAAAAAATAGTTTTTTGCATTTTACTTGCGACGTTTCGAAAAAGCACGTTCCGGAAGCGGCTCTTGACGTTTTGGTAAATAAAGTGAATGTAACAACCACCGCCTGACAGCGTAACAGGTTCTTCACTTAACGTGTATACAAAGTACAATTGGCTTTTACCACCGGTGATTAAATTCGAACCCATTAGCGATGTATTTCCTAAACCGATCTCATGTAGCAAGTACGGCGAAAGCATAACGTACATCATATAACACCGTAAAGGTACAGATCATTCTGTGTCACTAATAATATATGCAATATTTATGAGTCAATAAACCTGCTGGAATATATGTACAATAAATAAATAAAAGAAAATAAACGTGATAACATGTCGAATATCTTCAGATGTTCTCAAAAGTCTTGATCTTCAGAATACGACTCGGTATCTTTTATCGTGATTTTTACTTTCGAAGACTCTGCTACATATTCGCTGCTTATAAAAGTAGTATTGCAAACTTCTATTTAAAAAAAAAAAAGAGGATTATGCACGATAGTTTGATATTATTTAATAGTCAGTCTAAAATTTGAACAATGTAGCAACGATTATTTACGATAATTAAATACTGCATGAAAAATTGTTTGAAGATTGCACTCTATGTATAAATAATATATCATATATGTATAATCTATATTATTTATTTATATATATATATGTATATATATATATATTTATATAAGTATCGTAATATGGAGTGTTGAATATTACATAAAAGAATTTAATATGGGCAGATGATATTTTCCTTTCCGGAAATGAATATTCTCCTAAGTATACAACGCCACGAGATAAAATGTCTTTCCCCCCTTTTTTATGTTATATACTCTGTGCACAATATAAAAATTGTGAAGGTAGCAATGAACGAGTCAGATATTTGTTATTCAATAGCATGTTAGTTTTATATCCGATCGAAATAAAGTTATCAATAGAGTACGATGATAATCGCACGTCGAAAGAGAGATTGAGCTCGTTTTTTTCCTTTTCCGTTCAATCATTCTGAGAATTCTTAATCTAACAAAAACAAAAAATGTCAGTCGCAGTTGCATGGCAAATACAAAATCAAGTTGATCAGTATGCGGTACGTAAGAAACTACGATGGTTACCAATTAATATAAAATAACAATTGCAGGGGCAATCAATCTCATTCGGGCTTACATTCATTATTGGCGATTATTTAACGGATACCATGTACTTCCAGCGCAAGCGAGGTACGCTTGACGCGAACCCACTCAACGCGAAATATGTATTAGAGTGTCGCTCGAACACTATACGTTAAACAATTACGCTAAAATTTACTTAGTTAAAATCGCCAGTATTGAACTTAACCGTATATTCTGCGCATTTACCTAATAATATAAAACAAGAACACAACAAACTTCTTGACATACAAAATACATTTTAACATGTAAGGTTGTATGTCATTCTTTTCTTCTTTTTTTTTCCCCAAGTTTATCTCCCTAATCCTTCGACCGTGTGTCTTCTTAGAATTTCTCTTTCGGAGTATCCTTCCACTTATATAACGACATATGTCAAGAAACATTGATATTTCTCTTCACTTGCTTATCGGGAGCATACGTTGCTTTTTAAAATAAATTTTCCAATGTGTACATAATGAGTAATGAAGTCTCTTTTACACATGGCGATGATTTTAAATGTATGTATTTTGCATAGTGAGCAAGGGAGGAAGAGAGGAAGGAAAAAAGATGTTCGGGAGGATAGCAAAAACAAGTTTATCCGCTCTTAAAGAGGAGAATGGCTACCTGACCAAGATAGAAATAGATAAAATGTCTTGTTTCGTGCGTCACATAGCTACCGAAATTACGTCCTACAATACAATGCCACGTTGGGTTGTACTTTTTATCGAACTCTTTCTTGATAAACGCCGCAATGTCCTGAAAGCCAAAACCAATGGATATTAATGGTAGAATCAATAGCGCGTATTGATTTAACAATCTCATCCTGTACAACTTGACACAACAAATAGCAGACTTTTCCGACAGAATCTACCTTCGGTATATATAATAACAATTTCGATAACGACGTTTAAATTTTCAATTCACGTCTCCCAGGTCCATTACATTAATAAGACATGAATAAATCACGTGTTCCGTGTCACGTGTTTCAAAATATCAATTTACCTATTGAATTCTTTAGTTTCTCTTCAATTACGAGATCTTTATGTACTCTTTTTATTCTACTCTTAGCAAAAGTTGCTAAAGGCTTAATACGAGGATATTGATGAATTACCGAATTCTAGTTTTATTACAACGTAATTAAATCCATGCCTATAAAACGCGTCAAGATCTCTTGATTGAAAAAATAAAACTGAATCTGTTGGCAAATATATCTACTCCAAGTTCAAGTCTTCCGGTTTTATTTTCTTTTGCAATCTGTGTGCACAATGTTCACGGTGTGTTTTATCTACTACGTCTGTCAACATTTGATCAGAGTGTGAGGAGGCATATACCTTTTCAATGTTATATTTTTCGAGAGCTTGAGTGGCACAATCGACAGCGTCTTGCTGCATTTCCTCCGACATGTCAGCATTCTTGATTACTGCTTTTCGGTCCGACATCTTGCTCGTTCTGAAACAGAGATATAGCATCGTCATACCATGGCGCTATTATCATACAATGATCACACATCCTTGTAACGCAAACCCTGCATGCGAGAGACCCCGGAGCATGGAGTTTTAAGCAAGAGCGCAAATAAAAAAAAACCATATCCGTGGACATACTGAAAGCAGCGTAAACGCGACGGGAGTACAAGTTCAAACGGAGTTCGCGACACAATTGCGGAGCAAACGCGGTTCGCCGCTGCTTTAAATTCACGCCACTTTCAAAATAAACGATTTATTTATAAGCGACATTATCGCGCGTTTGTTGCGCGCTCGTTAAATGCCACGAGGGTGAAATAACGCGTGAATTGGCGACCGCTGTTCGACAACCCTCCCCCACCCCATGCGTATGTTGGGAGGCTCAACCTGCTCGGCCGCGGGAACCGCACGACTTTGACAGTAGCGTACAGGTCCAACGCCGGCATGACAATACGGCGGCGAGCGTCGGAGTCGGACACGGTATAGCGTAACGCTCGCCCTCTCGGATAGGACAAGAATGGAGAGATAGAGGAAGAAGGGAAAAATAGATAGCGCAGGCGGAGAAAGAGAGAAAGAGAGAGAGAGAGAGAGAGAGAGAAAATTCTGTCGCTCACGCGAATATCGGTGCGATGCACAAATTAGAGAATGGAGGCGAGCGAGGGTGGAAAGGGAAAGGGAGAGGGGAGGGGGAAGAGAAAGAGAGAGAGAGAGAGAGAGAGGGGGAGGGAGAAGGATAGAGATACCGATAGAGCGAGAGCGCTTAGAGGGGGAGGAGAGAAGAGGGCAAAACGGCGAGGGGGAGGAGAGGGAAGCGCGAAAGGCGCGGGAGGACAGTGTTTTGTCGATACGAGGACAATAAAGAAATGGCAATTCGGCCGGCACGCGAGGCGCACGGCGACCCGCGAAAGTGGGTCGCCGCGGTCCTGGCGCCGACGTCGGCGTCGGCGTCAGGGCGCCCCGTCCTGCCACCTCGGAGGAGGAGAACCTCCTCGCGTCTGACATAAGAAAACGCGCGCGCGACCGGATGGATTCCGGTCTCGCCGAGTTCGGTTCTACGTTCGCGGGGGAAGAGGGGAAAGAGGACGGGCATGCATCTTCGATACATCAGCGATGCTCCTGTTCTCTCTTTCTCTCTCTCTTTCTCTCCTTTGCTCCTCTTTCCTCGTCTTTATCTCGCACGCATGACGCGCGTCGTACGTTTTTCTCTGTACCTTTACTCGTTGACACCGTCTCCAGCGGATGATCACACACGGTACAACAGACTCGCCTTCCTCTCCGATCCTGGGTGTGCGTGCGTGCGCGTGTGTGGCCGTAAGCGAGGTCCGGCGAACGCCGTTTATTTTAAGCGCGCGCGGGCGCGATATTTTCTCGATACCACGACAACGGGGCGAACGCGAGGTTGAGGGTGAGGGTGACGGCGACGGCGACGGCGACGGTGACGGCGACAGCCGGGGATTTCGGCGCGACGGCGAACGATCCTGCGAACGGGCCGATTGACGGTGATCGGGATCGTTTCCTGGACGCTGCCACTGCCTCGGGAACACTCGGGAAAATTTTGGGCTCGCTGGCTTCACGGGGGCCGAAAGAGAGGAACCGACAACTTCACGATAACTTCTCGACAACCATCGACAACTACGGGCTCGGGACTGAGAGCACGGCCAGTCGCCAGTCGTCGCCGCGCGATGCCGGCTCGCGATTGGTCCGCCGGCAGGGTCTTCTATCAGGGTCTTCTATCGGACCGGCGTGCACCGCGCGAGACGACGCGCGAGAAACAAACGCGCGCCTCTCGACTTCGAGAAATCGGACGGGTTCACCTGATTCACCGGCGCAGTCGCGGCATTCGCGCCAGCGCCGGCGGCGGGCAATTTGTTTTCGTCTCTAGAGCCGCGATTCTGTAACTAATGTAAAACGCGGAAAACACAGACTTTTGCATAACGCATAATGCATGAGCATAAGAAAATTGATTGGTCTATTTTCTTATGCACATATGCGTGTGGACCACGCAATTTTCTTATGCTTACGCATTATGCGTTGTGCAGAAAAGTGTGTGCTCAAACTCGCATAGGTGCATAACCATATGCATAAAGAAACGGCGTGGTCTATTTCCTTATGCACTTTTGCATATGGACCACGCACGTCTCTTATGCTTATGTTTATGCGCTATGCAAGTTTGTCTGGATTGACCTTTAAGGGCCAAAGCACATAACATATAACATGGAGTAGCAATATACGACGGTCGTAGTCCTCGACCTGACAAATCAGGATACGCCAAAGCTTGTGCGTCACTTATGTCCACGACTACGACTGTCATATGTGCTTTGGTCCTAACTCGTTATA